CTAGGAACATTCTCAAGACATTCGGTGCATCAGTTGTCCGCTTAATAATCAAAGGCGTCTAATTCTCTAAATAGTTCTTTCTTTCTCTTTCTAAACTTTGTATGTATGTCAAGTCCTTTGGATGGATGTCTTCGTCTTATCTTACATTGTTCTTGATGTGGTGTCAGGAAGCAGGAACGCCTGACTGGGCATCATCCGGGATATTTATAGGAATTTATCGTCAGCCCAAAATGTCTTGCAAGTTTGAGACAAGACATTTTGCCTGCCCACAAGTAGGCTTCTTTTGTATTTTGTTTGTTGATAATGACATTTCAGAAAAATTCCTTTTCGTGTGTCAAAGCGGCATTTTTCAAGGTATCCAATCCTCGTGTCTCTATCGGTTTCAAAACCGGTAACATTGAACAAAACGAAGAATTCAATATATATCCAAAACCCTGTCCTTGTTGTCATCCGACTTTTCTGTACACAGGATACATGACTTTCAAAATGTTAGAGAATCATTTTAAAAAATGAAGTTTCCCTTTGGAGAATCGAATATTTTATCACAGATCTCCATTTATAGCAATGTTTGCGCTCTCGACATACATCTTTCTGACTGGCAAGGTTTTGACCTTCAAAGGTTTCATCATTTAGGCGAGCAGCCACTTTATAGTACTGATGGTATCACTTTCTTTTGTCCAAAGCTTTGCGAAACAACGCATTGAATTTTGAAGCCATTGTGTCCTCCCGATGATTACTACTAACATTAATAGCTTCAGCAATATTCAACAAATAGATGTATGAGGTGTATCATGTAACACTGGTTTTTGATAGAAGAATCTACAGTTTCGTACAAGTATTGTTGCATTTGGTCGATGACTTTGATTGATGTGGTTGATTTGTGAAGGAGGGGGGAATCATTTCGACCAAAGCCACTTCCCAATGGTCCTCTTGATCCAATTGGATAGTCTGAGGTAATTTGGCCGTGAAACAGCATCAAGTATTGTGGGGAAAAACATCCATGGAACTGTCACTGGGTAACGTTCAATAAACTTGGTTGTTCATAATTCTAGAGTTCTGATATCCGAGGGGTCACTGGAGATCAGAGGAGTGTGAAAAAGGAAGTTGTTGTTGTGGTGATGGTGACTGTTTGGAGGGTGACTTACGTTGGTAGCAAGACTCATGTTGTTATTGAAAGAGAATTTCAGAGAAAGATTGGCTGAAAGGCAAACGATTCAACTGCTTAGTAAAATGGTCCACAATTGTTTGTCTCCTTGTTGCAAGTTCAGATTGGCAACATCAGGATGATGACACATTCATCACAACGATTTGGCAGATAAAGAATCGTATAACATCACACGATCCTTTGAGGTGGACAATCAATCAAACGATTTTTCTGTTCGATCAAACGTTTGGCTAATTCGGTTTAGCTAGGTCCAGCAATGAACATGTAAAAGAGATGGCGAAAATATATTGCTTCCCAACTAGCACGATCTAACTTTTCGTCGATGTGTTTGAAAGTGGAGGAAGAGGTAGCAGAGGCAGCAAAGGTAGTCATACATACTATGTTGACAATTCTGAATCGAACACAGACAAGACACAAGTTTTGTACTATTTCAGGACAAGTTTATTGGAAAACTTTTAAAACTGAACAATAAAAACAAATATACGTAAGAGCCAATAGTTAATTACATCGATTAAATGCACATCAAACCGATTAAATTGGAATATAAACACTAGGTAATGCTCTTTTAATATCTACACTTGGCACAGTGGCCTCCTAGAATGACCTTTTTAGGGATGCCGATGTCAATGACGATCCTGTCCTAAATAAAGTGATTTTCATAGTTATCAGGTTCTTCTGGCACTGTGGCTAACAAATATATAACAATTTACCCATTTCATTGAACCTTTCAAGTCATTAACACATATCTTTGGCATACTGAACCACTTATATTGTCCACACCTTGAAAGCAAACCTTTTCCAGCACTTATATCTTGCCAATAAAGGTGGAAGTCACAATCTATACACACATCTTCGTAAGCATCCTCAGTGACTTAAAGTTGACGAGTCTTTTTCTGCACAGGTAGAAAAGTATCGAGGTGAAAGAGCAAGTCTTTTAACAGTGAGTCTCTCGTGTACTTTTAACGGTACCACTCTCATGGATTTTTTGAGGTAGGTACAGATAGTAAAGAGCCCACAAAAAAGGCTAATAAACGAAATCCCAGAAATGAAGTTACTTAGACGCACCTCACGACGACCGCAATTCAATGGACATAGTTCTCGTAATAAGTATTGGTAATCCCCCAAAGCCTGAATAGTTTTATCCTTCCTCCCTTCTGTTGTATCACTAATGATAAAAGTCATGTTTTGTGGGAGGAAATAAGTGTACATTCTAGATATACTCTAGATATACATCATACTCCAGTAGCGAATCTAAATAGTTTAGTCACTAACTTGCATACCACACACCTTTAACCAAAATTAGATTGTGTAAAAGATTTGCGTAGCCCTCTAACTCTTCCTCTGGAATTCGTGGTAGTAAAGCTATCTTGTGATCAGTAGCAAACAAATCCTTCTGGTGAGTGAGTAGTTGATCACTGTGTTACAAATGGAACATCTTCATCGGAATCATTCAGATACCAGTGGTTCAAACATCGGTGACGTGAAAGATGCAGTTGTTCTTTGCGTTTCACTTGCATTTTGATTTATTCTTGATAAATGAGTTCCCTTCAATTCCAGAGGCTGATTCGGAATTAACATTTCTAAACTAGACATTTTTAGCAATATCTTTCTTTCTGAGGTAACAAATGTACTTTTTGAACAAACCCGGTTTTAGTTTAGCTGCGTACCAACATTGTTTAGTCACTAACGCACACACCAAACGTCGCACAGAAGTTTCCTCTTGAACCAAGTTTAGTTCATGTAAAAGATTTTCGTAATCCTCTTACTCTTCCTTTGAAGTCCCGTACACTATGTTTACTTTCTGCGTAGAATGTGCAGCATCCAATAATTTCCGAATCTGGCGTGATTATTCTTCAATGTCGGATCAATCCACTTATACCATTCAGGTAACAGTGGCTCAAACATCGGTTACGTAAAGGATGGATTTTTTTTGCATTTCACTTGTATTTCGACAAATTCTCGGTAAATGCGTTCTCCCCGCTCCACTTGGAAATCACTAATGTTCTCTTGTAAAGTATTCATGAAGAGATTACTTGGGTCCTACTAAAAGTGCAGAGACCATCGAGCATGTTCCAGGTAAGCCGAATCGTTCTGATTCCCACTCGTGAAGTGACACATTGAAACAGAAGCATTTGAATTTGGTACCTTCGCCCAGTAGATAATTCCGGCCCTGGCTAATTCTTTAGGGGTAGGTCATCCCAAATATTTAGGCCTCTTTCCTTGGAAATTTTGGGAACGACATTCAAAGTTACAGTATTGAGACAAACCCAAAGGAACGAATATTTTTTTCGAACAGGTTCATTTCAATGAAGGAATGTGATACCCGAAGAAGTTTGCTCAGGCATGAATGATATCCGTAGGGTGGTAGCCATATGGTTTTACGTTGAGGATGACATCGATAATGAAAATCAGCAGAGTCTACGATAGCGAGTGATATCGCTTTTGCATCCATGAGGTCTGACACGCATAGCATTACCTTTCATAGTAAGTGTAGTAGTATTAGCAGTACTAGTAGTCATACATAAGCCCCCGTGATGTTATGCTCAATCGGTAAGGTCATAACGTACGGTATCACTGGCATCGAAAGCATAAAATCGCACTAGGCTTGTGAATGATTGATCTTGAATTGTGTCTGTTTGAAAGGATTCATCTTTCTAGCACGGTGAATGTAATCATAACAAACTATCGGTCTTAAACATTTTCCCTTTTTATATGCTGATCAATATCAGCGTGTCCGTACGGTAAAGTGAAGTAGTTGGGAAGTTGCACCTGCTTGTGGTGCACGATTTGATACATTTTTTTCCAAGGGTCGAACGACGATTTGATGTGTCACTAAATGTATAATCTTGTGCGTTGTATAGATGGTGATTCTCTCTAGATTCAAGAGCTTCTTTCAACACGCCAAGGTTTCCCACTTGACTGGTGCGATAATATAGAGTCAATCCTTACATTTTGCAGTCGATGTGTTATTCTCCTAGTTGGTCCAGGTAATCGTAGCCAAAATTTGTGGGACCGCCTCTAATAAAACTTTGTTGGGGAGCTCGTCTATTTGGGCTCCTAAACGGTCTCCTTCGACTTCAGGGCGAAGTGACTATGACGATCGATGTAGATGCATTTGTCCTCGTCAAAATGCAGCACACGATCTTGTAACTCTTGTAAGGCTTCGCAAATTTTAAACGAGCATGTGCCGTCAAGTAGGCTACAATGATAACATTCAAATTCGTCGACATGTGCAAGCTCCAGTTCTTCTTCGTAACTGAGCCAAGGTCAGGTCTTCATCAAGGACGTCCACGTATTTCATGTATTTGGTTATGTCGTGAATCATCTGGAAGTAGCGTACAAGTTCTGTCAACTACTCCGTCTTGGGTAAACACGGTCTTTGTGGCATTTTGCCCTACAAACAATTTAACATTACTTTGGCAAACGATCGCCTTCCTTAATTTTTCTCGATGTGATCTAAAGTTTTACCTTCCTGCTCCAAGTATTTCTCTTTGGATTTCTCTATGTCTTCAGGAATGGGAGTGTGGCACCAGGAAGGATAACCGCTCGCTTCTTGTTTTAGTTTAAAAAATGCATCCACGTTGTCTTCAAAATGCCTTTCTTTGTTTCGTCGCCCTTTAGGTACTGTTCCAGATATTTTGATTTTTTCTCGTTTTTCCTCGTCATAATGGTACAGGAAATGGGTGGGGTTCCTCCGTCCTCCATTCAAACTGTGCCGCGGGTCCAGAGGGTCCACCGTTGAGGATAGCAGATGAGATAGCAGTGAAAAAAGCAACTATTTAATTCGTACACGATCCTTTGTTTATTGTAAGTCCCAAACATCCACTGAGTAACCTTTATGGTGGCCCAGGGGTTAAAGCGTTGGCCTTGGAAGCGGGAGGTCTTGGATTCGATTTTCGGTCGAGAAATACCAAAGACTTACATAAATAGTACTAACAGCTTCCTCAGTTGGCGCTCAGCATTAATAGGTTATTGTTAGGACTGTTCTGCCTGGTGTGATATTAATGTGACTCTGTCGGACATCATGCTACATGTCTGGGCAATGATGTCCCAGTGCTAGACATCACTATGAACTTCCACACTACAGACATCGTAGCGTTATGATTGAAGAATTGTTAAAGCTACATTAAAAATCATAATCGCATCACATACTTACACACCACTGAATAACATTCAATGGTCTTTTCACTTCCTTCGTTTCGGGAATGCTGGATCCATTAGTCTTTCTTGTCGCACCGGTAAAGCAACCAACGCAGATCTTTGATGAGTATTGACTTTTGATAAAATTGGTCGTTGGAGGATATATGACAGCCAGGGTCTTCTCTAGCATGAATCGTTTGCGGTACACTAACGAACATGCATTGGATATGGTGCAAGGGTTTTTGAAAGAATCGATCAGTCCGTGCTTCAGGAACAATTTTCGAAATTTCCCACAGCATCGCTGTAAAATGTTTATGCCTGGCAATATTTTAACATTTATTCCTGAAAGTCGAAGGTGTTCGAGGCATGAGTTTGTTTCTCGTTGGTTGGAGCGCATGTTGTTTGAGTCATAGAAGTGAGCATCAGGTAAATGGGGTAGAAAGGCATGTTGATTGGTTTCAGTATTATAAAAGTACGGAAATAGCCTTTGGTTATTTCTGTCATTTCAAACGTTTTATGCATTCGGCTTAACAGCATGGCCCAGCTATTCACCGAATCTTTAAAATAAACTTGTCCCACTTCCATGGAAATAAGTTTGACTCCGTTCTACGTGACTTTAAACGTAGGGTGCTTTGTTCCATATAGTGTTTTAGAACAAACTGTCCATCGTGTCCCGATAAATTGAGAGCCATCACCGTTGCATAGCGATGGCAATTTCCATAACATTCGATGTCCTCTTTACTCCACGTCTCGCCATAGGGTCTAATATCAAGTCGGCCTGCTTGCTTGGTCCTCGAAAGATTATGTCACGTCATCTAGGTATCTTGCTACAATGCAATGGCGAAAGATAGGTTATTGGATGCACTTCTTGCACGCTCGATGAACCACACAGAAATTAAAAATGTGAATGCTGCTCTCTTGCGTGCATTCGAAATAAAAAAAGTATGAAATTTCTTTCATCTTGTCATCTTCCTTCTCTTGTTGAGTATGGTATTTTTGAATATAGCGTTTTTGTTCCAAGTCCACGATTTGGTGACAAATGTAACATAACTCTTTCCTGAACATACGTGAGTTTTGGTACTATTGGTAAGTATGCACTCTACGAGTAGGACATAATCTCAGGAGTTGACAAGCACTTTTCTATGTTAACCATGCGTCTTCCGATTACAAGCCTGTAGTTTAAGTGTGTGTGTGTTAAGGAATGAATTCTGTATAAATCTTTTTATTTCATTTAATTTCATTAAATGTAATTATTAATATGATTATAATAATATCAGTCTAAAATGTTGTTAGAAACATCATATTTACTTGAGTTGTAAATGTGACTCATGTGAGTACGTGCTGTGTATAATGGCAAATTCATTACAAGTAAACATTCAGGAATAGCTATGAAAACGATTGGCTGATACTTGGTCAGGTTTTCCTAATGTCCAGATGTATTGCGAAATCGCACGTGTCCACCATGCGTTTGCAGTTTAAACGAATTATTAGCTTCGTTTATATGTTTAGGTATTTTGTAAGACAGTAAGTCGCAGTCGGAGTCAGAGTAACAGCCAGAATAAAGAACAGCATCGTAGCTTATTGTAACATCTTAGAGTTACACAACTTCTTTTACTTTAAAAAAGGTATATTTGTGCTAGAATAAGTTATCTCTTCGTACATCTACGTAGAACATGTGTTTTGTTAGTGGAGCTAATTATACTTCGTTTGTCTAAATAATTGTTTTCCTGGAGAAGAACATTACTGATTTGGACAAAGACATTTTCCGAAAATATTCTACATTGGAACGGAACAATACAAACTGTACTTTACTGTGTAAATTCTGGATTTTTCTGTTAACCTTCGTCTGACGTCATCATCCGCCATTTTGGACTGGAACTGAACTTCAGACTGTGTTTATTTAGCATGTTTCACAGGACTTATGTTTTATATCTTTAGAACAAAGAATTTGGATCGTTTCCGTAAATTGTAAGTCCTGTTTTACATATTTACATTTTTCCATGTTCTCTAGGAAAATAAATAATGTTAAAATTTATAAAGCTTGTTGTCTTCACTCTTTCTTTGTGTTACTTCGAACGAGCCGTTACGTAACAAGATGTTGTTGGTAACAGGTAGGACTGACTAAAGTTCTCTGACAAGCAGGGCAATGCACTCGTTTTGCTCTTCTTCAATGCAGGGTTTAGAGGCCAAACATCTCTTACGTTTCTATCCATAATCCTTGGGCTGCTCTCGATCCATAGTCATATTTCTCAAAATAATATCCGTATCCCAGGTATGCGATAATACTGGTAGTGGCATCGAAATGTTCATTGTCATGATGAATGTGATTGTATTTTTTCGTGTTTGAAATTATTGCTTCGAAACAACAGAAGTCCGCACACTTATTGAGGATGCATTTTTCAATGTGTAGCGTGTAGCATGGAGCTAAAACGTCTTGCAATTGTTGCATTTCAGGAATGCCACAAAAGTTGTCTTAGTATAGACCAGCTTGTTGTAACAAGAGTTCTGTTTTATTTAGTTGTTTGACTTAGTCCGATCGTTGAATAGTTTCCCATGCTCTTTTCCATCCTGTCGTGTCGTTCTTATCGGCATAAGTTCGTCCTATGACGATGGAAAGGGATAAACACATCGTGTCTTGAGTGTTATTAATTTAGACGAGGTTACGCTTGATGCTGCGATGGTTGACCACCAAAACACGATTTGCATTGTCAGGTCCAATTGGGAAGAGAAACGGATCATGTATAGTGTCTCTTTTCCAACGGTGTTGTGAAATTGGTTGTTGGATTCCTGCGCGTGTTGAATCTTGTCAATGACTTTGAAAGGTGTGAATTATGATTACTGCTAAACTCGATCCAAACATGGGACTTACTACTGTCGTGATAAATGGAACGTTTCATGCGATCGTCTTCTTTGATTCGATATTGTAGTTTCAGTGTGGTTAACAAAGTATCCGACACATCAGTGATGAACCCCTCTTTTTCTCCAGCGGTTCGTCAGGCTTGAAGTCTTCAAATTTCATCGTGTACGTGTAGGCCGAAGTTCCAAATTTTCCAGAAGAGCGTTTATCCGTTTCTTGAATATGGTAATACTTTTCGGGGAATAATAGCGGTGCAATTTGGTTTGACGCTGACTCTCTGGGTTTGGATTCTGGCTAACTCATGTCATCTTCAAAATCGCTGTCATGAATGTGAGCCAAAACTTCAGCCATAGCTAGCGTTTGTGCCACTTACTTTCTTCTCCTTTCGCCATGAAATTGTGCGATCGTTTCATCTTGATTATAAAATGTCAAACTACTTTGTTTTAAACGCCATAGTCCCCTATATGTAATATTAGGTCAGTGCCCTTTTTATATAAAGGGTCAGTTTTTGCCTTCAAAATATTCATTTCACTCTCAATCCTACCAGAAAGATGGAAGAGCCAACACATTATCGAACTTCTGATCACAGGTTTTCTTCAGAGAAGCCGACGGACTATTCGCCATCCATTGGAGATAAAAGTCTAAACATATGCTATGTCTGTCAAAAGAAAGGACGTTGAGCCAAAACGTGTCCACGATATCAAAACAAGAAATACGCCAAAAGAGACAAAAGTCAAAATACTTTTCATTGTCAAAACAAAAACAACAAAAAAAAACATTGGTCTTCAGACTGTCCTCGGAAACAACAGGAGCAGGAGGTAGAGAGAGATTCCGAACAGCATAAAGAGGTGCCCTCTGAAAAGAAATAACAAAGACCCGTCCAGAAAGAGAAGAAAAGAAGACGAGAAGAAAGTTAGGAATTCAGAAGAGGAGAAGTAAAAACCTGTGACAGTTAAGAAATTCAGAAACAGAAGAGAGTAAAAAACGAAGCTAACGAACTTTTCAGAGTGATGTATTGTGAAATTTGATTGTAACTTCTATGAAAATACAGCATAAAGAAAAACGTAAGTGTCTCTTGGTTTCGATTTTTTGAAAGTCATAATAAGAAGCTACACTAACGCACTTACACACGTACTTCATCGGGAAAAAGGGATTTGAGTTTTATTTGCTTTTGGCAAAAATTAGGTAGTGTCTTTTCGAGAGAGCTGGGTGGCCATGAAATGACCTTTATGTGTTTGGCTTTTTTTTGTTTGCTTTCTTTTTTTTATATAAAAAAAACACCTCTTAGGCACGAGAGGCAATGCGCTTTCACTGCCTTATAACTTGCCACGTCTATGTCGTACTTCTTCGCCTGCTGCAGCTGATGATTTGGTAGAGATCACCACTGTTGATATCTCAGGTATAGTGGAAGTGTTGACTTGATTGGATTGAATGGCTGTTGAAGGTCTTTTTTCTATTGGGTCGTATTAAAGAAGTTCGATTCATTTGTGTCAGACTCCTTAACTTTGCCAAAGTGCATAAGAGTACTATCACCGTTTGACTTTGACAGTCCTCCTCCTCTCTTAGACTCGTTTCTTCTCAACATCTTTATCTTCCCGTCGTTTTCTTCTCTCTATTGCTGTTAAATGAGAAAGGCTTGTTATGCTTCTTTCTGCTGTTGCGAAAAGTTCTCCAATTCTTCTTTCTGCCTCTTTTTAAAGTCCTTGACGCACGGTAAGGAAGAAGAAAGCAGAGAAGGTACTGGTACCGGAACTAATTCTTGTGAAGAGACAATAATATGTTAAATCCCAATTAAAATCGTTCTCTACTGGAAGTAGGGCTGCGGTTGTTTTAGTAGCTGCTGCTATGCCATCACTCCTCGTCTCCACGGCCGGTGCACCCTAATTCATCATTTTCGCTGTTTGCGTCATGT